AGAGCGGTTGTTTAAATACTTTTCTTCCACGCAAGAGTGTCTGGATGCCTCTTTGGGTTTAGACCACGCATCTCTTTATATGGAGAAACTCATAAAATAATTACACTTTGAAATTGCCAGAAACGTTTGCTACTTGGAAAGACAGCTCGTTCATGGTTGTCCCATAACCTATGTGTAAAAAAGCTGTTGTGTTGATGTAATTTAAAACCCAGCTGCTAAATCGCTCTTTGACTGTTGTTCCAATTTTAAAGGGACTTCAACATACCATTTCATTTTGGGCATATAATCGCTTCACCATGCAGTTGGTTGTTGCCTTCCATAAGAATATTTGTAGGCAGATTGTTTCTGAAATGATGCCAGAGACAGTTTGTGTGGAGCGGAGCATGGATAAATTCAGCTTTATACTTCTTGAGAATTGCTGCCACTCAATTTCTTAAACTCCTCCTTTTTTAAAAAAGATAAAGAAAGATTTCAGAAATGAGAAGCAAGACAAACATTTCCCCACCTGAACCTCTCTGGTAATCCTAAACTGTAGAGGATTTTTCAAACCGGAGTTTTGAGACAAACACCTACTCCTTTTTCTGCATTCCCTTGCTCCTTTCTGGAGTTGCCCTGTGCATGGAGAATTATGATGATCAAATTTGGGTTGGTTTGTATGTAAACAAACAAGCAGCGGTGAATAATCTGGCTCCCGAGTATTGCAGATGAATAAAGTAACGCAGAATTCCCAGAGCTCTGATTGCCTTTGCAGACAAGAAGCAGACACTGAGTAACTGGAGCCTGCCTCTCTGACAGCTTTACCAGTGGCACCAACTTTAAAACAGATTCCAAACCCACCAACTGCCCTTTTACGGGGCATAGGGAGAAGTCTTCAAGCGAAAAGCAAAAAGGCTTTCGTTACCTTTCATTTTGACCGCTAAGGGGAGCTATTTATTGACGAAACTGTGCTGGATACTCCAAAGGCTTAACAAAACCAAACAATAATTGTGGTGTTCCTTGTGTTACAACCGTGTGCCGTACATATCCTGATTTCAACTTTGCTTTTGTTCTCTAGGGTGAATAACTGCATTGGATTTTCTAACTACAAATTCTTTCTACTCTTCTTAGCCTATTCTTTGTTGTATTGCTTGTATATTGCCGCAACAGTCTTCAAGTATTTCATTAAGTATTGGACAGTAAGTTGTGAAATCTGGTTACTCTTTCCTATCCTCTGAGTCTGGTGGGGTTTAGTCACTCTTGGTTTTTGCTGTCAGTCAATGGGAGGGGCTGCGTTTCTTCCCTAAGGTATTTTCCTGTGCCCTTTTTTGAGTGCAACTCCCATTATATGTCTGAAAGGCACAAAGCGAGAAGCAAACAGACTTCAGGAATTTCAAACTGTACGGTTAGCTTCTGGCAAAGAAGCTACATCCTTTCCCGGTTCTTGTGTTTGCATGTATGTATCTCAGAACCTTTGGCATCAGAGTATACATCCTGGCATCGATCTATACATGTTTACTGAACAATATCAAAAACCTCGTTCATTTTCTTATCCCCGTGTGACTCTCAATTTAAAAGTTGACTGAAATAAAAGTATGCTTCTTACTCAGTTATCAATTATCATTCATATGCAAGCAATGCCAACTGACAGTTCCAGTAAGAGGCTGGCCTTTTGCCTCCATTTTTTTTATGTCCCCTCTGCTGCTATTTCTGTATGACTGCATTTAGGTGACTTAACTTTGCTGTGCATTAATTTATTAAATTTCTGTTGTTTTAGTGGCTAATCACTGACATAACGTGCCTCCTGAGATGCTCATGGGACACCAGCAGGAATTGTTTGTTAGGCTAAGAAGGGCACAGAGACGTAAGCTCTGTTGCTGCATAGATGGGATGTGCGAAGGCTAAGAAGTAATTTTTGAACTTGGAGGTCCCCGCAGCCTGTCTGTAGGTGTATGCTTATGAGCATCTTTGGCACTTGACTCTTCTACTGTAGAAGGAAATGTTTCTTCTGTTTGTAAGACCCCACTTGACTTTTAAACTCTTCCAAACCATCTTATGCTCAGTTTCAACGCTACCTGATCGTTATAGCTGTGGAGGCCAGGTTTTCTTGGCACGCCTTACATTGCAGGAGGTGCAGAATTTTAATATATGGACAGGAAACTCCGCAGAACACAAACACGGCTTCAGGAGCTCGTGCCTGCTTATTTCCCTGTGGGCAGAAGGCATGTTTCTTGTGCCCAGGTGGGAAGCTGCAATTGTCCTGGTTCCATTATGTACAAAAAGCAATAGCAAAGCCCCACTCTTCCTGCTTTGGTTACAGGAGGGGAAACGAACCAGGTCGTTTCTTTGTCCTTGCTTTTTATAGTAAGGTGTGACTTTTGTATACACTGATTTGAGAACTCCAAATAGGAGTTGTAGAGCATATCTTTCTTCTCTCTAGGAACAAAGAATTTCCAGCTTCTACTTCTTTTTGTCACTTGTTCTGTGTTGCTTTTATTTCCAGGGTGAACTGACGAATGGACGTTCCAAATTTCACGTCCTTTTCCTTCTCTTTGTGGCGGTCATGTTCTTCGTAAGCCTTATGTTTCTGTTTGGCTACCACTGTTGGCTCGTTAGTAGAAACAGATCTACTTTAGGTAAGGCTCTTGTGTCTGTCTTCAAGTGAGACACACCAAAAGTGCTGTAAGAAGAAAAAAAGAAAAAACAAAAAGGCATTTGTTTTCTGTACATTCCAGGGGAGGAAGATTTAAGATCTTGGCACAATGCTGCAGAAATTTGTCACTTCTAGTGAGCTGCATTAATTAGCCAGCATGACAAAAGCTTTGTTAGGGAAATGAGAGCCTTAAAGTGTAAAAGTCCAACTGGAAAAATGTTATGCATATGTATAACTGTACTGGTTGTGAAATGAGTGCACCTTTTCAGGACTAACAGTTCCTTATCCTCATATGCTGGAGCGCATCCTAAAACAGCTTAGTAAGGTCGGGAAAAAGTGTCCATCTTCACTGACAAAGGCAAAGAAGTTACAACTGTAAAACCAAGGACATGAAAATCTGAAGGAGTATGACTTTGTTGAGTGATTTCTTTGTCTTTCCTCAGATAAATGTTGTTCAATTTTTAAAGGTTTTTGGATCAATTTTTATAACAAAATACAGACTTTGAAGAGTTTGAGCAGATATTCCGATTTTGTGTAGTTATTAATTCTAAAATTCATTTCATGGGGCCCTGAAGCTCATCTATCCCAAAACATCCGACCTCTGCAGCATCTTAGAAGGTAGATAAAATTGTTTGTGGTGCACTCTAGGTTCTCCTCCCATCTCTTTTCTTAATTTTATGTCTCACCAAAACAGAGGGTCTGTTTGCGTGTGTGTGTTCCTAATGCTTGTTCATTATATCATTAATGATTGAGGCAATTTAAATCTCCAGTGCTGCTTCTGGAATATGCATCAAAGACCAACCTACGTAATTCTGCACATTTTTTACTTAGAAATTTCTATCCACTGAATTTTAACAAGTCTCACGCAAAGATCTTTTAGTTCTATTCTCTAAGTTAAACAAACCATTTGTACTTTGGTTTGTATGTTCCATACATTTCAGTTACAAGACCAAATTCCTGCCTTCACTTTGAAAGTCTTTACAGGCTTGCAAAATGAAAAAAATACTCTTTTCAAGCTTTGTATCTTTGTAATGCTAGGTCATAATCTTTTAAATCGTGTTGTCTTTAGATGGCTACAACAGGTACAATCCTGTTTCAGAGTATTTGGCATTGATTTTCTTTTTTTTTTTTTTCCCCACTGAAATTGCATCTGTGTGTAGAGGCTTTCTCAGCTCCAGTGTTTCAAAATGGCCCAGATAAAAATGGATTCAATCTTGGCTTTGTAAAGAATCTTCAGCAAGTGTTTGGAGAAGAAAAAAAGCTCTGGTTACTACCTATTGCCTCCAGGTAAGTAATAGGTCAGTGCTAAAAGCTGATACAATTAACTGAAGGGACTGACTTCTAAATGTCTGCTACAGCATTATGCCTGTTAGTGTGTGGCTTGGCTGCCTGCTGTTGTGCGTTGTTGTAAACGCACTGACATCATCTGTGTTCATCCTGTTCACCAGGATTCTGGAAGGGAAAGGTTTTGAGAGCCAAACACGCTGCACAGTGTGTTCGACCTCTTCCTGGACTCCTGTGGCACACACGTGGATGGGTGTTCGCGTCAAAGATGCTGTTTCCTTCATCTGTCAGACTCCTCTGCCTGAAACAGAGTTTATGTTTCTTAATGTAGGGGAAAATGTTTTGGCACTTGGTGACCAAGTACACTGGCATTCAAGTCAGGTTGCCCAGAGAGGTGGTGGAGGCCCCATCCCTGGAAACATTCAAGACCAGGTTGGATGGGACTCTGAGCAACCTGATCTGGTTAAAGGTGTCCCTGCTCCTGCGGGGGGGTTGGCCTGGGTGACCTCTAGAGGTCCCTTCCAACCCAAAACATTCGATGATTCTATGATTCAAGTCCTTTAGCAATTGGGCACAATTTAAAGTAACATCCTGGCACAACTTTTTCAGGTAGGAACGTATAAGTCTAAGGCCCAGTTGCATCCCCGCTGCCATCTGTTTTGCACTCCTAAGTATAGTTAAAGGGAAAAGATTAGCACAGAAATGAAAGGCAGCATTGAAGCGCCAGTGAGAGGCGCATTACCGGTGTGTATAGTCATGGCAGGGAGAACACAGGTCATTCTCCTTGCATAAAGATACATTGTCAGAGGAAAAAGGCACTTTGGGTAGTTTACAGTTCCTCTGTCTGTACTGCTGGATGTCAGGGAATACAGTATGGTGCAGACCAAGCTAGAACATCTAGTTTTTAACTTTGCTAGTTTGCGTTACATGAACTTGAATGTCAAACTCTTGTTTGATTCTCAGGCACGCGTTGCTGTTTGGGCAGTAGTAAAGCAAAAAAAAGCTTCTGCAACTTCAGATCTTTTCAGAGTGTTTTCCCCCCCCCCCCCCCCCCGGAAACCCCACAAAAGCCGTATCACAGGAAAGTGGGTCTTTTCTCTTTCAGTAACATCTAACCGAGATTGGCGCCATTTTATATTGGGTATCATTCAAACACAGAAGTGTAATTTCTGCCCTGAAGAATCTATGGTATAAATTGAGAGAATTTATCCCTGGGATATCAATTGCTCCTTCTACGTAAATGTTTTCCTTAGTTCCCCATCACTTCTAGCTGTCCATAAGTTCATGTTTTTTCTGTTTTTTTTCTGCATCTGAATGACTTGATCAAGTTAGGCACATTTAAGTTCTGCTAAAAACTACGTAATTCCAGGCTATAGGTTTGAACTTTTGTTCTCCAGAGAGCTTGAAGGAATTGAGGACCAAAACTATTTGCTGGTAAAACTCAGTATCTGAGCTGCCACAAAAAATAAACGCACTATTTTTCAAAGCTTAAAAATAATTTTAAGTAAAGGTTGGAAGTAGATGCAACAGAAGACTTTGTTTGCAGATAAAACACGCAGAAATTGTCCTCCGTCAGAGTTACTTGCTGCTTTTTACAGCGTCTTTCTCTGCCTTTTTCCATGCAGCCAGGGCGATGGCCATTTTTTCCCAATGAGAGCTCTGTGTGAAGCACAGAATCCCCTCCTAGCAAATGAAGAGCAGTGGGAAGATGATGGAATAGATGAAGAACCTCATGGTAAGGTAACACTAAAGGAAATTATTTGTGTCTTGACCTACAGTGACTAGTGGATGAATTATAAGAGCTAATCAAATGAAAAAATTGTCTTGCCTAAGTCACGGGGCAGCTCTGACTTGACTAATGAATACAGCCTAAAAATAAGTCCTACTTTGGAGTCAACTCTTTTTTTTTTTTTTGGAAGCTTTCCACTTGCGAGTAAATGAACAGGGCTGTTGTTACAAGTTGTTGCAGGGAGAAATTGAAATTTCCACAGAGTGTCTTTATATGTAAATGTTGCTGCATGCAGCACAGTTATTGGAGACATAAAGTTGTGCCTATGAAAATAGAAAGACTTAAGATTTTTTTTTTTAAAGTGCATTTATTCTCTCAGAGTTTGTGAAAACATGCCTGTGAACACCTGAATGCAGTGATACGTTTAGGAAGCTACCTTATGCTTTGTTTGTTCAGCCTTGTTACAAGAGTAGAGAAGTTCATTTGGGTTTGATGCTTGCCTAGCTATGCACTCATCTCCATAGAAGTATATGTGCTGGGAGCAATTCCAGGTGAACTGGCGTGTTTGTGCAATAGATTTATTCAGTTTCTGAAATGTAAACATACCTTTTATGCTATGGGTGTCCTATTAGAAGATGACTTTGTATGTATATGTGTATCTATTCTTTGATGACTGTTGTTAGATGGATCTAAAATTAGTTTAATGATTCCTTACTGTTACATTTCTCTGTTTGAGCTTGCATGGGTTTTTCCCTTGCATATTTACCTCCAAGCTTTGGTCTGTAGAGAATACAGCATGTATCAGAACATCAGGGTTCATGTCGGACACCCCAGTTACGACGTCTGAGGGTTCAGGAATCCCGTCAGTAAGTTAAGCATGGGCTCATATCTTTTTCCTGTGGAGCAAGGATTCCATCCACAGGCTCCCTTTAAAAGAAATACCATGATCTCACTCTTCCCTCTAAGGTGAAATGTTGATTATTGATTATGGTGAAAATGTTAATTAATTCTCAGGTTACTGTGATTAGTGGATCAAGCAAGTATATGTGGAGAACCAAATATTACTGCTTATTGTTTACAGACAGGATTTCCGTAGTCACGCTCTTCATTGCGTCAGGATAGTTTTCAGAAACTTGGCTGATAATGTTCCCTTTCAGGGTATACGTTTTAGTCACATGTGCACAATGTATGTTTGGGAAGCCGTGAGGAAGACTGCCGTCTCGGGGAAAGGCGGTAACAGAACCTTTTCATGTGGACGTTTTCACATGTGTGCAATGCTCTCCTTAATGCTAAGAGCACAGTGTTTGCTGTTCAGTCTCTGGTTAGGTCTTACCTGCAGCTGTTTGTTCAAGTTACTCCACTGCAAAATAAACAGTCTGTGTTTTTTCCAAGGCACGTTTCACATACTGCTGGGAAAATATACTCACCAGGATTTTGTCAATAGGACTGAAGAGGGTCATTTCAGCTTTTCTTCAGATTAACTGCTTTAATTAGTTTGTATTTGTGTGTTAGAAAACTACCTGTTCTTCCTGTTTTGTTATATACATTTTGGCAGTTGTAGGGTAACACAAATTGGCTTAAAAAAACCAATATGGCATCTCTGTGTACTGTTTATGATGCTTAAAAAGAATTCCTTTAGGAATGAGTCGGAACTCCTTCCGACTTTTATAAACTATAAATTCTCTGAATAAAAAATTAATTCTTAAGTATGAAAACGTTAGACAGTGAAATGATTTTGGGCCAGATCAGAGCCCAGAATCTGAATCTGTAGCTTATATGAAGTCCCACAGTTTATAGTGCTTATGAAATAGATGGCGCTTACAGGCAGTTGAACTAGATGATTGCTGTGGGTCCCTTCCAACCAAAGTAGTCCATTCTATTAGTCTTTCTCAGTGAAGAAATAGCTTTCAGTCTTATTCCAAGAAGCTGTAGAACCGTAATATTGGTAAAATTAGAACCTCTTACTGTCACGTAAAAGCCAAACTGAGCCTATACAAAGTTACAGGCAACAGTGAAAAACCAGGCTGAACACAGGCTGTGAGCAGATGCCTACCTTGTTAGAATGTGGATTTTGACCCATGATTGGAGAAGATTTTAATTTTTTTGCAGTGGCTGTGAGGTAAAGGTGGGAACTGCAAATAAAAGAACGCCCTAGATAAGGAGATTGTGTCCTTTTTATGGCAACAAATCGGTGATGTGGCTCTGGAATTCAGAGCAAATGTTGGGGGAAATCCACTTCCCTTTATTTTTCTTACAAACAGGCAAATCCTCCTCTCAGCTCTCAGTCCGAACACACAAGTTTTGCAAGATGAGATCCCACATGGAAATCGAGGGGAGCGTGTATGGTTGGGAGGGGAGGAAGCTGATGCTTCCCCTGGATGCTTCAGTGGCCAGTGCTGCAGGACTGAGAGTAGCGGACGCTTGTAACGCAGCTTGCAGCCCCGCTGCTGGTGCGGTTTTGTGAGCAGAGTGATGCACAGAGCTTGCATTGAAAAGCTCCACGACAGGCAGGGTTGCCTGAATCTTGCACTCTGCGAGTTCTGTGGGTCTCCATGACCACCAGGTAGGGTCATGGCTGATTCAGTAATCGCAGAATCATAGAATCGTTCAGATTGCAAAAGACCTTTAAGACCATCAAATCCAACCGTATGGCACGTGTAAAGTATTTTTGAGTAAGTACTTCTGTGATACAGTGTAAATCCACCTTGTGGAGCATTTTTCTCTTAAGCTCTTGACTGTACCATTCTGCTAGCACAGCTAACAAACATCTGTGTGTCATTTTGATTAATATAAAAGACGCTGGGGGGGAGAGAGCATTGTATAAGAAAAGGTACCAGGTTGGTTCTTTTTCCTGTTACCTGGACATTAGACAAAGCAGGAGTCAAGGAAACGTGAAAATTCAGATTTTTCAGTCCTGCGGTCTTAGGAGATGGCACTGCCAGCTGCACCCAGATCAGAATAATTACTGCCCTCTTGTACTTAAGCAGGGCCTCTCACCTCCTGGAGTTCCACCTGCAATTGCTCATGCCCTTGTGTTATGTAGCAGGAGTCATGAGGGGTCTCCTCATCAGTCGAGTCCCTCACTCGTGCAGAAGGGAGAGAAACACTGCAGAAAAAATGGAAAAAAGGAGGAGCTTGATGGGATGTTTCTCTGTGTAATGTCACTGTGCCCAACTGCATTACTGCAGTCTTTTGCTTCCACCCTGATTATTCTGTGTCCGCATAAAGCAGGGCATTTCTAAGCCCCCACAACTGCAAAGATCAGCTCACACGTGGATATGGGGGGAGAGGAGCATTAAGGGGACTGGGAGATTCATGCGAAGCCCAACTGAAAGCAAGGAGATGAGGCTTCGGCCAGGTCCGGGAGCGTACAGGCCATCTTCCCAATCACCTTATCCACAGGGTTGTCCTTTTTGCTGTGATAGGGATGTTGAAATGTGCCCTTCCTGGTTGGATTTTTTTTCTTAATCCTGGCCTTGCTAAGGCTTTTACTGTTTCATGTAGTGAAAAAAATATTGCGGGGAACCTTTTGTTTCATTTCTTAGCCAGAGACTGAAAACATTTGCTTCCAAATTTATGGTAATTTGATTTCTTTTTCAGATTTATTAATGCTCATCCTTATTCATAGGCATCTGGTTAATCTGTCAAGCCAAGGAGCTACCCCGAATCACACGCTGGCAGCTTATGAGGTTATCAGGTTTTTTCAAAGAACTCACCTGGGGTGTATTTGACGCGTTGGTTGTGGGTGTGTCAGCACTGTGAGAGCTGGGACAGCCGGTTCTGCACATTTATAGCAACATCTTGTCTCTTAGATTGATTTATAATTCAATCATGTGTTTCATTTGAGCTTGTACAAAAGGCTTCAGTACGAATCAAATCTTTCTCAAATTGTTCTCATCTTCAAAAACTTGTCATCTGTACTAAGTGACATCTTTCCAGCAGAAACCAGCGTATCCTGAGTAATAGGTGGACGTTGGTGCCTCTGTTGGTGTGATGGAGCTGCAGGTGTCTGCAGGCACGTGGTCTGAATTTAAATTCAAATCAGTAGGAGTCTAATTAAAGGAGCTCCCTGTCCTGAGATGCCAGCTAATTTGGCATAGCAGCCCTTCCAGTCGAGAAATCGTCTGTTGTGACTGTAGGGATTGAATTTCTATCCATCGAGAAATTTGAAAAGCTACTCAGATGTCAGAAGTGAGCAGAGATGGCTCAGACAGCACAACGGTGTGTTGGGCAATTCAGTGAACCGAGGCAGAAGCCAAGCTTTGCAGCTCTGGATCTGAGGCATGATAGAAGTGGCTAAATTGTGTCTGACAGAAGGAAGATTAAGTTAAAGCAGCGCTAAACCCTACATCAATGACTGCCTTAGAATCAGATTTGGAACAATGGAGGGATACCTGTGTAGGAATCTGCCCCAGTTCAACTACATCAATTGGTAAATATATTTAGTAACACCAACAGGGCTTCGTATGTGGATCAGACCTGCAGCTGCTAAAGCAATAGGATGAAAAAAGATATTCCATAAAAAGTCGGTAGTGAAATTTCAGAGAAACGAACGTCCTGGAGCCAGCAGGTCCTGCGTATCCTTTTATCAGTTCCCTTTGACGTGCAGGTCGTGTGCTTTCCTAGAGGTATGCAGGGTAAAGGGCTGTTCTCTGGAACTTCCCATCGGAATAAATGGATTGGATTTTGCGAGGTAAAATAGAGGTCTATGCTAATAAATATGAAAATAACCCGAGAATGGAAAGAGCAGTGATTCTTTTTATACGTAATAAGGAAACAAGAAGCCTAGGCAAATCTATTTCTTGTATATGTGTTAAGGGGGAAGGGTTTGTGTGGAGGAGTGGCTGAGTGAGAACGGGCAGGACTTAGTCCCGTTCGACAGCCCCCGCTGGGCAGGTGGCCTGTCCCAATCCCGGTAGCGATGGAGGCGTGTGGACAGCGGTGCTTTACCAATCACAGTGTGCCGTGTGTGTGTGTTATTGTTTTCTGCCTATATATGCTTTGCTAACTGCGCAATAAAGGAGAACGGCCATGCTCACATTGAGACTCCATCGTGACACCGGGTCCGACTGCCCTTCCACCATCTGGTAGCAGAGGAGGGTTGATGGTTCTGGTCGCAGAGCTTAGCTGGACTAAGTTCTCCGGGACGGCGGTAAGCAGCGAGAGGAGGGGAAATGGGAAGCAAGGCGGCTGGGAGAAGTGCCAGACACGGATCGAGGTGGCCGCTCGCCTCCCGGCGGTGTGTTGCTCGCAGGCATCCTTTCTGAGAGAGGGCCGAGGCCACGGTGGAACTGGGAGAGGCGCTGCTTGAGCGCACAGTCGGGGCAGGCACGGATCCCGGCGGCCGCTCGACTCCCAGAGGTGAAAAGCGGCGCAGCAATGGAAGTGGAAGCTGCAGCCGTGTTGCTCGCAGGCATCCTTTCTAAGAGAGGGGTCGAGACGACGGCGAAACCGCTGATTAACTTGGTGAAATTAGGGCGCCGATGGGGGCATTTTATGGACACGCCTCTGTTATTTTCTGTCACTGAGTGGCGAGACTTTGGGGAAACGATGTGGCAAAAGACAATAACTGGGGACGAAAAAGATGAAAAAGAAGTAAGAGCGGTATGGGAGCTGTGGTGCACTGTATTAGAAACTTTAAAGAACATGAAAGCAGAAAGAGAAGTAGCTTGCGCTGCTGCACAAATGTTAAATCCCGAG